TGCATCCAGTCCTGCTGGGCAGCAGCTCCGTTCCCCCCCTCAAAGCGCTTCCCTGCCTCCCTCTGGGCAAGCCCCTGGCCAGGTGCTCCCCCCCCCCATCTCAGGGGAGGATGTGAATTGGGGGCAGAGGGGATTCGAAGGGCAGAGGGGATTCGGGGGGCAGAGGCTACCCGTAAGGCTTAAAAAATCAGCGAGCAGGCAGCGCAGTGCCTGAGCAAGCGCGGGCAGCCTGGCATGCCCCACAGTGCTTTCGGTCTCGCTGAACGTAACCCACGCCCAGCTCCAGGCAGTTCCCTAGAGCCAGCTCCCCGCTGCTCTCAGCAGCCTCAGAAGTGGTTTCTGGCTGGGTGTAGATGTGCCGGGGGGATTTGCTCTCACACTCCGAGCCGGCTCTGTTTGGAAGAGCTGTGGTCGTGTGGCATCTACTTGAGTAACAGCTTCAATTAAGTTCTCTTGACAAGCTGTTGTGTGACTGGTGAACTGACGGGAGGAGCCCCCTCCTCAGCTGCTGAGGTTAAAACTCCAGCAGGGACAAAGATCAAACATGCAGCTAATTACCCTTTTAACACTTAAACATACCCCCCTCCTTCAGAGGAAGGCATCAGCTCCAGGCAGTTGCTTCTGTGCTGGGAGCCGTGAGTGCTGGCTCAGGCCAGGCTGGCTCAGCACCGAGGTGGGGTCGGGCATGACGTGGGCAGTGTGACTGCAGCCTCTTCCCGCTCCAGAGCGGCTACTCACCACCTTTTTTTTCCTCAATATGTGGAGCAATTGGGTTCAGGGCAGATGTGACCTGGGGAATTGCCCACCCCTGCAGAGATTCCTGCCCTGTGCGGGTTGCAGAAAGGGAGGCTGTGAAGGTGAAGCGTGATGGAGCATCTGACCTGCTCCCTGCTGAGCCCTCTTTCTGTCTCCTAGAGTGCGTCTCTGAAGACTGCCGCTCTGTCATCCAGGAACAGGCCACGGCCCTGGGGCTCTCCATGTTTGCACTCTTGGTGAGGAGGTGCACCAACCTGCTGAGGGAATGCGTGCAAGGTAAGGGGTTACCAGCAGGATCCACAGCAGGATCCGCGTAGCTGCCCGCAAGGCAGCCTGGGGGTTCTGGCCCTCATTCCCTGCTATTTTGTACACCCCTTCCTCTCTGCTGGGATTCTCCCCTAGCACCCCAAGCTCTACCCAGGTTATGGCTGGATCACCTGGTGGGAAAGCCTCTGATATGTGCAGGCAGAAACGTTTGGAAGAAAGGGATGGGGTCAGGGCACGCTTTCTGCCAGCTATTGGGGGAAACTTCCCAAAACTGGGTTCTTAGAATCCTAACTCTATGACTGACGCACTGGCACCCCACTGCGCTCAATAAAAGGGATCACAGACGTCCTGGCTTGCCCCTCGGGTCAGTCTGTGTAGGGAGAACTGATCCTTGTGCTTGCTGTGGGTTGTGGCTGTTCCCTTGTTCATCCAAGGCTGGGATGTTGCGATCTGCGTCGTGCATCCCCAGTGCCTGCCTGAGCCTGGCTCCGGGCTGCAGTGAGCTGCTTCAGCTCTCGCGTCTTGTATTTGCAGTTCAGCCACAAGATGTGGAGCAGGAGGATGAGGAGGACGACGACGACATCAAGGTCTCTGCCTTGCCCCAGGACCTGAAGGAGCTGCTGCCCAGTGTGAAAGTCTGGTCAGACTGGATGCTTGGCCACCCGGACACCTGGAATCCTCCTCCAACCTCTCTTGAGCTCCCCAAACAGTACGTGAATTCTCTGGTCTGTCTTCTGGTGTCTGCCGCCTCCCTGGGCCCCTTGTGCCACCTTTCCCCCTTGCTCATGCATACTCCTAGCTGTGCCGCTCTGACCTGAGCACCCAGGAGAGGCTCAATGCTCAGGGGGTGTTTGAGGGGGCACTTGTCACCCTTGGTGACACAGTGACTTCTTCCTGGAAGCATGAGTGGGGCTGAAGTGTTTCTGAGGTGGGCTTGGCAGGTGCTTTTTGATTCTGTGTGTTAGAAGATGGCCCATGAGCTGGATTTTTACCTTCTGTTTAGGATGTGCGTCTGCTTTTGTTGGGATATGTTGCTTTTACGTACTCTGCTGGCCCAGCCAGCCGAACAGGCAGGGCCTTCCTCTCTGCAAGAGGGAAGTCCGTTTCCAGCATAAGCATTTCGTTGCCTTTTCTTGACTGCATCAGGCCAACCTTGGTTGAGCTGGGCTGGCCTGGAGTAGCTTGCCTGTTCCTGGAGCTCCAAAAGTCACCTCCTTTCTGCTTCAGAAAGAGCTTGTCTCTACTGCTGCAATGCACAAAAGGGTTAATTTTCTAAACTGGTTGATTCCAGCCCATTAGTCCATAATGCGGACTAGGCAATTTGCATATTTTTGGACAGAAAATTGAGTGAAGGGGCCAAGTATGGAGTATGCGAAACAGTGTCTGAGCATGCTCTGTAGCTGCTTTCCCGCAGGATTTTCCATCTGCCTCCGGTACTCCGGATCCAGAGCCTGAAATCACGTCTTATTGTTAATCCAAAGGAGCCAGAACCCAGGGTGATGGGAAGGCGCATTAAGAGTAATCCAGCAAAGTGGCTTAACCATTAATGGGTCCCCGCTCCGTGCGTCAGGTCCAGTCCTGCTCTCCTAGTTTATTGCCTCTTACTCCAGTTCTTTTTCATTTGGCTGAGGAAATGGAAATCTCACACAGGAAGTTCTGGGCCTCATTTTGTGGAGATGGAGTCTGTTTTCTGTTTGTCGGCTGCTCGGTGTGGGACCGCTGCCTGCTCATGTGAACTGCTGCCCATCTTTGGGCAGGAACTCAAACTGGGATCTGTCACGTGAGAGTGCGTGCACCAATCCCCCCCTTCCCCTCGCGCTGCCTGCGCAGGGAGCCGCCGAGCCCTTGGCGACGGGCAGCCTCGAGATGGAATTTCTGATTGGGTTCGCGCAGCCAGCGCTCGGCGCCTTCCCCGGGACGAGCTGCCTCCCCCTCCTGCGGGGCGCAGGGCTGCGTGTCCCCCCCGGGCTGCTGGAGCAGGTGCGGGCTCCCGCTTGCCCATCGAGGCGGGAGAAGGCAGGGGTGGCAGCCCCCACCCCACGGTGTGGTGGCGCGTGGCTCTTTGGGGAGCCGTGGGTATGGGTTGGGACGTTCTGCTCCGCAAGGTCCTGGTCTGCTTGGTGGGAGAGCGAGGGTCTTCGTCTTGTAGCAGAGGCCCAACGGCTTCCCTACCTTGCCCTCTCCACGGAGGGTGGCTGAGCGGCCCCTCTTGTCCCATCTGTGCCTTTACTTGGTGGCATGGGCAGCCTTCCTCATGTTGGCTCCCAGCTCCTCCGCCCTGGTTTGGGACGTTCTGCTCCGCAAGGTCCTGGTCTGCTTGGTGGGAGAGCGAGGGTCTTCGTCTTGTAGCAGAGGCCCAACGGCTTCCCTACCTTGCCCTCTCCACGGAGGGTGGCTGAGCGGCCCCTCTTGTCCCATCTGTGCCTTTACTTGGTGGCATGGGCAGCCTTCCTCATGTTGGCTCCCAGCTCCTCCGCCCTGGTGCTTTTTGGCTCACCGGGAGCCTCTGTCTTATCCACAGCGAGGAGATGGGCTGCTCTTTCAGCCCAGACCTCTTGTGTTGACCCAGTATTGCGTGGCCGGGTGTTGGTGGTCTGGGACAGCAGCAGCTGAGCTTCCCTGGAGGCGCAGGTAGTGATGAGTAGCAGGGAACCAGCTCCGCTCTTGGGCACAACCTGGGACTTGGGACATTTTCCGTAGAGGTGGGAGAGGAAAAGGGGAGCACAGGTTAGTGTTTCAGCTCTCTATTGACACAAGCCTGCTGTCTGGCCTGGGGCTGTTCAATAACCAGGTAGAGTCACCAAGTCCGGGGGTTTAGATAGGAGCAGCTTCAAAGAAGTTTACAAGTAAAACATGGGTCAGAGCAGCAGGCGTGTTGGAGTAAGCCAAGGTTTATGCGCAGGGTGAGCTCAGGAGTGGGGAGAGCAAGCGAGGAGCAAGCACAGATGCCAAGTTGCAGAACTGAGTGAGGGGCCTGCGCCGTTTCACGTGTGCTCTGCGCCTCACGGGAGCGGGACATGCCGGGAGGTCCCCACCGGTGCCAATGGAGAAGCTGGCTGGACACGCTGAACCCACCTCCCAGAGCTCTGCAGCCGTTGCTTTCGTTGCCCCTCATGATGGCGTGGGCACAGAAAAGGGTCAGTAAAAAAAGCCGTGAAGCACAGAAGCGCCCTGCAAGGATGCCATGAATGTGCTAAAGCTTCTGGAAAAACCAGGCCCCATACCCACCTGGCAGCCCACTAGGAGCAAAGGCCTGGCCCGGAGCTTGCATCAAAGTGCAGCTTGTCCGGGGCCAGCGCCGCTGCCAGAATGACGGCCTGGGCTCGGGGCCAGCGGGGCAGCTTGTCAAGACTCTGCCAGAGCCTCGGGCCTGGGCTATACATCCCGAGGCCTCCGCTCACGCTGCGTTCGCCATGTTCACAATTGCTCGTTCTTCGTAAAGGAGAGAGCTGGGGGACTTTGAGAACGTCTAAACTCAGCCCAGCTGTGGCAGTTGGTTTATTGCTTTCAGCTGGTACTTGAACCCAGGTCCTGGTCTTGGAGTCTTTCCCAGGTTTAATCCCCGGAGCTTTCTCTGCAGCTGTATGACACTGCGCTGACCCCGAATGAGGATAGGAAAATAGAAACGGTGCCAAGCCAGAGTCTCTTTTTCATTTGGAGTCTGGCTGTCTGCCCATGACCAGGGTTACATAATGGGAAACATAGCTGGGGCTCTGGAGAGCCCGCGTTTCACCACGCTGCCCAGACCTTCGCGTTCTGATGCTATATATCTTCCTAATTGTAGCTCGGATGCATTTATCACACTGCTGGATTTGAGTCCTTACAATAAAAAAAAAAAAAACCAACCAAAAAAAAAAAAAACCCACACCAAATTCCTCAGCTTGCTGCTTTCCCCCTTGGACAGAGGCGGAGGGAAAGGTGTGAAGGGTGAGCGCTGCCGAAACACGGTGTGCGGCTGCGAGCCATGCGGGAGTGGGCTCTGCAGAGCAGGATGGGAGGCTTGGGAGGCTGCGTCTTTGGGATCCTTTTCCCAGTGGGGGCTTGGGAATGGACCCCAGCTCCTGGCAGGCATCCGTGCCCTAGCTGGGGGTTCAGCAATCCCGAATTCAACCTGAATGAGAAGCTACACCTTTCCCCAAAACTACCCTCCTTGGTCTAGTGCACTCATCCAGCTCTTAGCCACACCTGCATGGCCACCGTGGCTTGGGGGATGCGCTGGGATGTGTTTTCAGGCCAGAAGGCCATAGAGAGGCAACAGGCTGCCTAGATCACTCTCTTGGGGCTGCTGTGTGTATTTGAGAGGCGGAGGGTGTCCTTCTCCTCTGCCTGTATTGGAGAAGGGCTCAGTGAGCTTTCCGTGGCTCTTTTCTCAGGTGTTTCCAGAATAGGAACTAAACCTGACTGTGGACATCTCTGCTTCAGAGCAGCAGTGTCCTGTGGCTTGGGGGTTGTGTGTCTGGACCGGGTATTTCCAGGTCTTCTAGTAGCAAGCAACAGTCACTTCTATATCTTAAAATCATTTTAGATCTGCGTGGTTCATGGCAAACATTGCATTGAGGTCTGAGCAGATGGTCGTTTAAAGCAATTGCGTTCCCATGCAGCTGGGTTGGAGAAGCGTCTTTCAGAGGTGGAATAATTTGGAGAGATTGGGGCGTAAAAGCAGGGAGTCCTGGGGAGAGAGGACCAGGGTGGATCTCCTAAGGCAGAGATATGAGCATCAGCTAAGGCAAAAGGTGGATCTCCAAGGAGGCTCGTGTTGTTCGAGTGAATTCATCTCCTTTTGGGCCATACGGCTGTGAAGAGGGTGAAGAGGGCTGGGCAAGGGAGAGGAAAGCTTCTCCTTGCTGTACTTGGTTGCCATAATGAATCTGTTGCTAAATGAAGCGCAAGAATCGATGGGGAAGCCGCTGGCTAGACAGACAAACTGCCACAGGGCTGACCCTGGCGAATCTGCGCTCCTTCCACGCTGGAGCAAAGGGCCTCTCAGTTTGTGGAGACTGTCTGCAAGCATTTAAAAATGGTTAATTTAAACCAAGTATTAAATTAAATCCAAAAGCTCTGAGCACATTCTAGAGCTTACCTTCCCAGAGAGATCTGCCAGATCGCTCTCATCACGTCGCTCTTGCGAAGGAGTGTCACTGAGATGGCAGCTCCCACTGGGAGAGATGGACAGAGTCTTGGACAGGGGTGCCAAGACCTTGCTGGAGTTTGCTGGAGACTAAATGGAAAATCCCTTTTGCAGATCTCAGCCTTAGTTAGTACTTCTGGCCACCAGAGTTTCCCTATCGAGACATCAAAGCGAGGATTCAGAGGTGTCTCGGTAGCGTAAACCTGGCTGAGAATGAAGGTAAAGTCAAGCAAAGCAGAAGCCAAAAGGCTCCATAGAGAAGGGGGCTGTGGCGAAGCAGAGGCTGGCTGGGAGGAGACTGTGCCTCTCCCAGGGAGGAGAGCATCCCTCTAACTCCAAAAGCAGGTTCCCGGGAGAGGAATGGGTTTATGGGTGCCTGGCTGGCCAAAGGGACCGCGTGCAGGGCAGAGTGGGGGAAATCCTTAGTGCCGTGGGGCAGAGGGACTGTGACCACCTCATCCCCGCTCTGGGCAGCAGTATCCGAGTCCAGGGCAAGGTTGGTGAACACTTTCTGGGAAGAGCTCCCACCGCCAACCCCTTTTGTTCCTTGCAGAGGAGCTGCTTTTAGTTCGGCTTCCCCTGGGGTGGGAGAGAGGAAACCCAGGAGGGGGATGCGGAGCACTTTCGGCGGCAGCGCAGGAGCTGGGGTGGGCACCGGCGCTGCCTCGCACCGGGAGCTGGTAGGTGTGTGTCTCCTGGTCCTGGGAGCGCGCGGGCCCGAGGTGTTTGCCATCTGCCCGGCAGCGCGGCTCTGGGCGGCTGGGGGAACACAATGCAGGGCTTCTTCTGCGCCGCGCTTTCCGGGTTTGTGCTGCAGCTGTGGAGTTTGACTGTTAGTGTTTAAACAAGCTGGTATTACACAGGAAACGGCCACCTCCACAGGCCCCCGCGGGCTTGTAACATGGGGTCATTGCGCTCGATATTAAT